ACAGAGAGGAGAACACAAAAATGACTCAGTTGTAACTGAGTCGCTAGCGCGACAAACAAGCTCTGTTGTCCTCCATCCATATTTTCAGTTCCAGGCTGAGTCATTTCTACCTTCTCCTCTCTGTCAACGCTCTCTGGTTTCGTTTAAAAGAGTCGATCATCAGATATTGTCCAAGATTAACCTTCAGGGTGGATATAGGTCGCTAGCAGCCTCGCACTGATGACCTAGTTGATGTCATCATTTACCCAGAATGCTTTGCATGTAAATAAAATGGCCCCGTCCGTGTAATATATTTTTAAACTTTTAGTTTAAAAATTATAAAAATTAAACATCCTACAGTATTTTTACAGTCTTTATTTTACAGTTAAAATATATGTTTATCATATAAAGTCTAATGTTACAACTAATCGGGGATCCCTTTAAAGGTTGTTTTGTTCTTGCCTGTTAGCAAAATATCTTAAGAACAACTGAACAAATTCTAACAAAACTTGCAGCACTTATTCACTAGCTGTACATCTACAAGTGATTCACTTTTGGAAATGATCCAGTTTAAAATGGCTGCCACAGCCGGCTCACCTCATAAAAACATAAAAAGTGTTACATTTCAGTCAGTTTTAAAAACACTGAGCTAAAATTAGGAGTGGTAATAGTTTAGAGTCTGTCACAACAAGTTTTCTGAAGTGATGCTCATTGTGTGAGATCTTCTTTATAAAACAACCAATACTTGTTGGGAATAATTTTCTGTTTGTCTGTTAGCAAAATATCTCATGAACCCATGGGCAGAATTTAGTGACACTTTCTGAAATTAATGAATGGATGAACATCTACAAATGATTAACTTTTGGGGTCAATCCAATTCAAGATGAATGTCACAGCGAGTCAACATTAGCCAACAGATAAATGGTGATAACTGTCAGTTTTACAGATATTGAGCTACGTTTTTCAAGATTTAACACACTTCTCAGATGAATGAGGATATACCCACCTGGACGGAGGTCTCTGGTGTTCCTGCCACCCGTACCCGTACTGCTGAGAGTTGTAATGAAGCCACTCGGGTCTGACGGGCGGAGGGGTGAAAGGGGCCAGGTAGCGGGGGTCAGGATGCCCCCAGTGCCGACCCCTGTCTCTGGGGTCCGGTGGGAGATAGTTCACATCCCAGTCCTGCTGAGCAAACCTGGAGTCTTGAGTCCTGTGGTAAAGCCGGCTGGAATCAGGCTGACCTCTCTGATCCATGGGAACACCTGAAGGAAACAGCAGGAGGAAAACAGGAAGTGAATGTTTGCCTTCAGATGTAGAACATCAAGACTTGTTGGGGGGTTTTACCTGCAGCTCTCACATGCCTGATTCAAAGTCCAGCCTGCAGCTGCCACATCATTTCATGAGAACCACACAGGAGCTGATAACACACCTGATAACAAGAGGATAAAGTTCTCACACTCTGACACAAAACAGCTAATCAGCAGCCACAAACTGGACCAGCTCACTGGACTTTCATTTTCCACGAATAAACATGATGTTCTGACAGTAAACTCTGTCAGCAGCACTCCATCCTCACACTGACTGACTGAAGAAAATGAATTACTCACATTCTTGTTCTGTGTGTTTTTCCGGCGACACAAAGCCACGTGAGGAAACAGAAAAGTGCAACAACTTTTTGAAATGTTGACTCTTGCCACGTTGTCTTTGTGGAGGACGTGTTAGCACTGAGCTGGTCTCCGGTCAGGGCCGGCTGCTGTTTCAGGGACGAACCGACGAACGGAAACTGACTTCAAACCAGCGCAGAAAGTAAAAAAAAATAAAAACACAATTAACTTCGTGTTGTTTCACAGTCCGCCACTAGAGGCGCTACAGCCCACATGTAAACACCACTGACCGTGCAGTTAATGCGCATGCTCAGTGGGGTCCAGATTTATTTACGCCTACTTCCGGTTTGTCAAAATAAACTTCTGGTTTTAGAATAATGTTATGCAGTTATTTTAAACCAAAGTCACATTATAAGAAAAGACCTTCTGTATTTTCTTTAAGAAGCATGATTTTTTTTTGTATTATTGTGACAAACTACATTAGACGTCACTAATCATTAATTAACTCAGTTGAACTAGAGAAAATTAAAATAACTCATCCTAACTAAACTAAACTCCTCTGAAGAAGTTAAATTGCTAAACTAATTCAATACAATTACACTAACAACTTAGCTCAACTAACTTCCTGGCCCAAATACTGACCTTTTGGATGTGCTTTTTAAAATTTGATCTACATTTAAATAAAGTAAAATCTTTTTTTTTTTTGTAAACGTTAGCAGCAATGCCACAGCTAAATAGTAAAATAGAAGCAGCCTAAAAATTATGAATAACAAATCCAGCCTTGTCCTGATGCATCTCTGTAATCCAGGTAAAAAATCAAAAAGAAAAAAATTGTATAGGTCCTCTGGACGGGTTCTTCTTTAATGAAACGTTTCGTCTCTCCTCCAAGAGACTTCT